AGTCATAGATTGGCCTCCCCAGTAACTAGATGTCAACATTACTGAAGCAGTGTGGGATCATCTTGTCAAAAGACAGCCAACACCCGAAGCAGAGTTTTAAATGTCCTTCGAGAAGCCCAGGGAACTATTCCTGAGGACTACTTAAGGCATGTACTGAAGAATAAAAGTAGTCATTACCAATATTAACATTTGAGGTTATTGGAATTGTACAAACTCTTTTTGTGTACTTTATTTCCATGTATGTTTGTATGTTGCTGTACCTATTTCCCATTTTCCTGAGAGAAAAACAAAACTAAGGACGAGCTATACTTTAAAATGATTATTCTTCTTTTAGCATGCAATTGTGATGGGGCTAGGGAGGAGACCTTATATAGTGTCATTCATCTCATTTGCATTGTGTTTTTGCACAAAGAGCTACAAGTTGAACGGACTGATAGGTCGTGTAAACTGATTTAATTAACCTTTAACGTGACATTGTCCAAATTGTGGAACATGAAAGTGGGGGAAAAAATCCACAAAATGCATTTAGTCTAACTTACACAATCCTTTAATCATACTAGAGAAAAAGATGGCAGTGGATATCACAAATGTATTCCCCCTCTGCTATTACTCTAAAAATTCTCTGGGTGCACTAAAACTGATAAGAAGCATCTATGCGGGCCACTGATAATATGCACATCAGACCTTCAGTGACTCACTGCTATTGAGGGAAACTGATGTTATTGTACATGGTGCCATCCTCTGGCAGCTGTGGTGGACTGCAGACAGAAAAAAAGCTAAAAAGTCTATTTTGTTATAAACTGCACATCACATGTGACACGTACTGTACTGTGTGTGAGTGTGTTTGTCTAATATCTGTGGGTTCATTTGCAAGGCACGTTACAGCTTCAGTTGCTTGATTATGATTCTTTTTGTGAGCAATTCTATGAAAAGGTGTGTTTTTCTCTGTTACGATTTTTTAAAACTCTGACCTTCAGCGTTATATTTTTAGTAGAGTGGAACAAGGCAGCTTCCGAAACCTAAACTATGGAAGTCATTTTTCATTTCATAGTGAGATTGTGTCCAGGTGCAAAGACATATCTTTAAAAAACTTCATTTTACACACCATTACATAAATGGAAGCTCTTATAAATGTAGTTTTTATCATTTGCTTTGTTTGATTTTATGTTTTATATGACTATGTATTTTTACTGTGGCACACATGGACTTCTATAAAAAGCAAAGACTGCTATTTTTTTTTTTTTACTTCTTTTATTTGATGACTAACCAGTGGTATTTTTAACTGGTTGTAAATGAACATTATGCATTTTACATTTTTTTTTTTTAACATTCTACATTTTTTCAGTGTATAATTATACAGACATTGTGTTTTTTCACTGTATATAATTATATATCATCTCTTGATGGCACAAAAACACCAGAAAGTGTGTAATAAAAAGAATTCAATAGATTTCACATATTTCTCATGCTTTGAAGCATGAAAATAATCAACAGTCTTCTGTCCAAAAAAGAAACTAAATAAACAAACAACATCACTCGTATGCAAAGCAGTTAATAAAATGCAATTCTTGCCTCACTGATATAAATGAATGTACTGATAACACACATGCTGGATATTTGGACTTGCATTTACATAGCACTTTTCTTCTATGCATGTTAAGCACTTTAATTTCTCACATATATCTTCTGCTCCCAGAGCCTACCACTCACCACTTAACCCAACAACGTCTGTAGACTATTTGAGTTCAAATTTGACACAGCAACATCTGCGATAACAACCTTAATGTCACCACTTTGACCAATTTTACTTTTTTTATGTGTATCTCCTGGTTTGTCACAGCACTTTTGCTATATTCGTCTGGGTTTTATACGATATTTACCTGCATTTTATGCTGTATTTTCATGTTTGTCTTGCAGATCTCAGTCACGTGCTTCTGTTCTTGCTTCTCATTTTTTGTAATCCCTCATAATGATGGATAATAGTTGCATTTTCATGTGTGTGGGACTATTTGTATTGTTTCATATCCAGTTGCTATGTGAGTGCCTTAATGTATCCTATGAGCTACATGTGGCACAGACCGACTAACTCTGGCATTCTCGATTTCCTGCTTTCGAGCTTGTGCCCACAGCAGCACAGTGCTATAACTTAGGCGGCCTGCCAAACAGACCACAGTGTGCCCAGGGTGATGCTGTAGGCCACCACGGCCACCAAGTAGACTCTGAAGAGCAGCACGTCGAGCACATAGCCAACCTGGAGCCACTCCTTGGCAATTTCACGGCACTTGTCCCTCTTCTCTAGGAAGTGACGTATCGTTGTCACCTCTTGCAGAATGTTGTCCATGAGAGGTGGGACGTTGTCCTTAGCTGGAGTCAGGTGCAGTCCAAGCAGTCCGCCTTCTCTCTCATGCTGGCTGAGCTTTCGGCCGATTTCGCAGGTGTGGTGGAGTGAGCACGGGGCTGTAGGGTTTGATTGGAGTTGCAGGATTATTTACAGCGTAAAGCTTAAAAGCATTTAGGGATTTTTCCTTATTTTCTGCATTATTTAAGTGCGATTATGAATTATATTAGCCACTTTACTTGTTTTCTTCTGTACCTACCAGTTCCATAGTTGTTTTCCTTGTAGTTCTCCATGTCAGTGGACTGAGAGGAAAGTCTGGAACATAGCCGGTGCTTTTTGTGGATGCAGAAAAGGACTGGAGCTCTTTCCAACACCAGATACTTCAGCCACTGGGGCACAGGGGGCTGCAGGTCTTGTTTGTGGACCAGACGTACAATCAGTACAGTTTCTGTTAGGCTGATTACTAGGAGGGCCATGCAAACCACAAAGTACACACCTGTAGGACAGATAAGATTAAAAAAATAAATAAATTGTAGTATATAAATGATAAAGGGTAGTATGGTAAATGGTGAAAGGATGTGGCCTGACACCCAATCCATCCTGGGATAGTTTTCAGCTCAGGTGATGTTTTGCCCTCAGCCATCTGTCACTGCATGCTTTACTACAAACCAATAGCTGTTCATGGTGTTGATCTCCCCTGACATATTTTTCTCTGTTTTGTTTACCCATACATTTAAAGAAAAGTAAGACTGCCTTCAGGCAAAAATATTTTAAACTCATCTCTACATAGTCACAGGAAATGCTCATTTGAATACAAACTGCCAGTGAGCGTAATTGATTCTAGTCACCAATTAGCGGGGTTCCTATGGCAGTGGCAGGCAGAGTGTCAGACACAATGATGAGGAAGACAGAGTAGCCCAGCAGCAAAGTGATCTTGAATGAAACTCTCTCTCCACTGTCTGGTGGCAGATAGAAACCCACAATGTCCATCACCATTAAGAAGATGCTGGGCAGCAGCAGGTTCACGGTGTAGAATAATGGTCGCCGTCGGATCACCACCTGGGAGATTTAGTTTAGAGTCAAGTTAAAATGTGTGCTATCAAATGAGGGAGGACATGTTTAGCATTTCTTTTCATAGAAACTGGGAATCTGGGGAACAGATGGGGACATGTTTCTTGTTTCTTGTTGGTATAAGCCGTTTATCAACAGTGTTATTACCTGGGAATAGATTTTGAGCAATTGTACCACAGGCAATGAGGAAAAATACACACAAGGTAAAATGATTTTTAAAAACGACCTTTCAGCTTTCACTGTAAATCATAGTAAGAACATTAACTAGTGACCTATAAACAGGGGTGCACATAAGTGGTCCACAGGTGCGCATTCGCTGTCAAAATAAAAGACGCGCACCAGCGTTTTGCGAAGCCAGCTCAGCTCCTGCAAACACTTTTCCGAGAATACGCGCTTCTTTGCGGTTCAGACTCCTTCTGACATTTCTTTGGAGGTGGAGGAACACCAAAGTAATTGCTTAAAGGAGCTTGCATCTTCGACATCTTTAAGAGTTCTAAACAAATGTCTGTCCTCCTCCAGAAAATCTTATCTCAAACGCGCGTTGCAACTTCTTATCTGGTGCGCGTCTTTTATTTTGACAGCGAATGCGCACCTGCGGACCACTTATGTGCACCCCTGACTATAAAGCATGATGATGAATAATACATAGTCAGGTCCAAAGTTATTTGGAAGTATTTGAACAATTGTAACTTTACCTGTCAGGACCACTGCAGTGGATTTGAAATAAAACACTGATAATTTTATTAAAGTGAAGACTTTTTAAATTTAAGAGGTTTAGCAAAAGTGTTGCATTAGTTGTTTAGGAATTATACCAATTTTTATCCATAGTCCCCTATTTTCACAGGTTCAAAGAGAATTGGCTTGACAACATTTCACGATCAGGTGATGCCTGTCTTTTTTCAATTCCAAGTACTGAACTTGCATTTGGTGCCTGTTCAAGAAACATCCAAGAGATGTCTGTGCAAGTAAACAAGACCATCATCTGGTTGAAAAATGAAAATAAACCTATCAGAGAGATAGCAAAAGCCTTTTTAGTGGCTTTTGCGACAGTTTGATGTGTGCTTAAAAAGAATGAATTCACTGTAGTTCATCAACACCAAAAGGTCTGAAAGACCACAAAAGATAACTAAAGTAGATGATCACAGAATTATTTCCATGGTTAAGAAAAACACAACACCTTGCTAAGCCAAGAGCACTCTCAAGAAGGTATGTGTATCATGATCAAAGTCTCCAATTGAGAGATGGTTTCATCATCGTAAATGCAGTTTACGACAACGTGCAAACCACTTGTTCCACTCAAAAACAAGAAGGCCAGATTAGACTTTTCTAAAGATCTAAAGCAGCCTGCACAGCTCTGGAAAAAAAAATCCAAATCATGGAACCAGGATTCACTTGTAACAGACTGACTGGAAAAGAAACGAGAGGGAAAGGAATGGCCCACATCATCTGTCAAACATGGCTTTCAATAGAGACAGGTCACTGGTGTTTAGTAATGACTCAACTGCTGATAAAAGTATCAGGATGAATTCTGAAGTGCAAAGAGTTATACTTGGGGGCGATCGTGGCTCAAGAGTTCGCCTTGTAATCGGAAGATTGCTAGTTCGAGCCCCGGCTTGGACAGTCTCGGTCGTTGTGTCCTTGGGCAAGACACTTCACCCGTTGCCTAGTGGTGGTCAGAGGGCCTGGTGGCGCCAGTGTCCGGCAGCCTCGCCTCTGTCAGTGCGCCCCAGGGTGGCTGTGGCTGCAATGTAGCTTGCCATCACCAGTGTGTGGATGGGTGGATGACTGTCCTTAGGGACTAGTAAAGCGCTATACAAATACAGGCCATTTACCATACTTTCCTAGATTCCACCAAATCCTGCCAGCCAGCCAGCGTTTCACAGAGCAAATGGTTAGTGATGCAAAACAACCTGCAAAAGCACCTCACAAGTTTTTCAAAGCAGAAAAACGGGATAGTCCTTAATTGCTGGAGGAAAAAGATGATGGCCATGGACTTCAGGCAGTCAGTGAGTGCAAAGAATTTAATCATAAAAACAATTCTTTTGTTTAACATCGGGGTTGTCCGGTTACTTTTGAACTTCCAAAAATGAGGGACTTTGTATAAAAATGCTTGAATTTCTAAAGAGTTAATTCAGTACTTCTGATAAACCCCTTAAATTGAAGCTGAAATTCTTATATCTATTTTTTATTTTTGGTCGGTCTATTTTTTTCACTGTTTCTCTATCTTGACATATTACATTGGTTCTGAGTTTTTGTATGCTCTACACAACTTAGTAAATCTTTACACTCACATGAAATTTCATTTCAGCGTAATACTCTTCTTTGTCCACACTGAAGTTCTTATATTTGGATAGTACATGAAGTAACTCCCACTCTCCTTGGTTCATGAAGACACTCTTGTCTTTACTGAGTTCCTCGGGCTCTCGCATCAGGGTGATGTTGATGTCATCAACTACAAATCGAACACAATATTGGGAGCAGCGTGAAACAGCCATGGCAACACGTCAGCCTTCACCTACCTCTGTGCTCTCTCACAGCGGGAGAGAGTTGATGGATTCATCAAACAGAGCAGTTGTTCTAGCCAAGACTTACAAGAAGTGGTGCTGCTTCAAAGACATTGATTGGATTTAGCTTTTTTTTCTGTTTAGTTCAATTTGCATGCAGGTAATTGATAAATATGAACTATTCATTGCATTTTTTTTAAAGCATTCACAAATACTTCTAATCTAAAATGTACGTTTGGCTTGTTAGAGGCTTATTAGCATTCTTATACATGAGAATACTTTTAGGAATAAAAATAATAAAATGTTCATTTAAATGTTATATAATAAAAATGTTTTTAGAAAAACAAAATTGCGAGAATGACTGTTATTTAATGATAAATTCATTAATAGCTCATTGAAATATCTTACTGGTATGGAGCCAGCTTTGGAAGGTCAGGCTGCAATTCTGTACATCAAATGGGAAGTTATAGATATTGAGAGTGCAAGCTGTGACAACCTGGATGGGCTTGTAGTTGTGCACAACTCCATCATCTGTGACATAAACGTAAGGAATGTCTGGAGACTTCCCCACGTCTACACTGCAGGTCACAGACAGAAATAGCAGTTTTAATCATTGTACGAGAAATGCGAGAGGGTCTGTGTATTAGAACTAGTAATAGCATAATCTTACAACTCATTGATGAGGATGTCAGGAACCCAAACATTAGCCGTGGGTATGGAAATTTTTTTGACTCCATCAAAGTCCTGTGAATCCCACACCAGGAACTCATCTTTCCATGACTGAAATATTCAGGAGTGCAGAAAGAACCAAACAGAATGTAAAGATTTTTTTAAATTGCACTATGTCAGAAAATATGGACTGAGTGTGGTGTCATTATTAAGTGAACACAAAGGAATACAAAGAAAAGCAAATACAGATGTAAGTTAAAGCAAACATATTTCATGTAGCACTTTATAAGTTGACTAATGTCTAAATTTTAGAGATAATACTTTGTGTCTTTTAATGGCATATTTATTGATTTAGTCATTTGTCCAAACAAAGACAAGCAAACATTTGGTTTGTTTGTCTGTGTTTATGGCACTTACACAGCCCCATGAGAAAATGTAATGGTTTCAAAGAGGGAAAAAAGTCAATCACAACTGAAAGTCTATTTGTTTTAAATGGCATGAATGTGAATACTACAACTTATTGTTGAGTAACCACATATTTGCCATGTCAAATAGATAAAATATGTGATAAATTAATAATACCACAATTACAGATAAAGTAAGCAAACAATATACATCAAGATTTTTTATTTTTCTTACCTGTCTGTACCAGACGTATGTTGTTAACACCTGATTCTTCTCATCCTTTAACACAAAACAAAACAGAGAAATCAGCGGAAAAACAAAAAATGGTATATGGTCCGCGTTACATTGGTGCTTCTATGTTTTTTTAAAATCCTAACATGTGAAAGCAATAATTTAGATTCAGTTTTACAAAATGACTGTGTATTTGTGCATGCTTATGTATGCATAATTATGACACATTGTGTACTTAATGATGATTTCTTTAAAAAAATGTAACACACAGAAAATAGTAATTGCTTTGTAGACAGCATAACTCACCACATTAAGGATAGAGTATACCATGAGGTCAATTTCCACATTAGTAGGGGTGTTCCAGTCTTTCACTGGTCTCACTCCTTTCTTATAACCGACACTCAAAAATTCTGTCAGTCGCACTAAGGTGGCATTGGCAAATCTTCCAGTGCTGCTGCCCAGTTTCTTTGCTGAAAAAAGTTACAGTGAAAATTTGAAAAACCCATAAAAAATCTAATAGACACACCAATATAATACATACATAATAATATATGCACATATAAATATATGCCGTTAAAGAAATAGTTAAAATCACAAATAACAAACAAATGTGTAATAAGATCGGTTGCATCTGTGGTCAACTTCAATAAAAATAAAAATGGAATTCATCAAAAATAATTAGAAGGAAATCATTATGAATATTAAATGCACTGAATATTTTTAAACTAAATGTATTTCATAAGGAATATGCATTTCTTGTTTCAGATGACAGATAACAGCTACATGTCATGTATATTTAATCAAAAAGCTACATTTCCAAGCATTCAGAGCATAAATGTTTTGAAGTTCCATACCGTATGTCACCACAAATATAACAGTACTTTAAGTGTTCATTGCTTTTTTTATTTCTCAACATATATCCTTTATCTTTTATATGTACAATTAATGTCAGCTGTTTCAGCGATATTTCTTTCTTTGTTTGAGACACTTTAATTTTATTTAATTTCAATGATAGATATATATATAATTATTAGTTACTAAGATTCATTATTAAGATTCAACTTTTTGCAAAAACATTTAATTTGTTACCAGACAGATGTGACTAAAATAAAACAGCTAAGATTGGACTAGAAAGTCAAATGAAGACTAGCAAAAATATTACACAGGAAAGCTAATACCATTTTAAACTATCATTAATATTTTCCCTGATATTTGGTGAACCCAAGGCCCAAAACTGGCTTAAGTTAACAATAAAATTAAATACTTTGGTGTACCTGTGCATTCTTTTGAGGCTTCATTAATCAGAAGGAAGCAGAGTGCTGTCCAGGCTGATGAGAATCTCATGCTGCTAGTTCACCTGTGTTTTCTCTTGTTGCTGCTGAAGTCTGCCTGTCGCTCTGATGAAAGGCCTCAGGATGCCTGGCACCTATATCCTCCACATCCATCCACTATATGCATGGCTTCGCTCACATCCACTATCAAAACCTTGTTAGTGTCACTCCACTCATGAGGGTGTATCTGTCTGCTCTGACACCACTCCTTGTTCAATAAAGCAGCAGCTCGCTCAGATAAATGGAGCCAGAGTTCTGCGACTGGATCATATGTCATGTCTGAGAAGTTATTTAATTCAATAATGTGATCCCAGGCCAGTATGTTACAATGTTTACCAATTAAGAAACCATTAGGCAAGATTGTCATCTCATTTTAGTCTCAAAGTGTCAGCAAATAATGCCTTAAAAACAATTAAAAAGGAGCGTGGCGGTGTGAATTTTTATTAGCCAGTTTTCAGCTGTCCTCAGTTTTACATCAGGGTACATTTTGTTTGGTAAATATGCCCATTAACTTTTAAGGAAAGGGCATAATATTTTGTTTATGAAATTCACACCTCAGAGCATACTATACTGCAAATGTTCGTGGCCAGGATTGCTCTATCTACAGTACTTACTATGAGTAAACTGATTATGTGCCGCATACAGCCCAGTTATCTTTACAACACTGAAATAATCTTTGCTGGATCTGCCTTCAAAATGCTCCATCATCCCTATTACTACTGAGTCTACTGTCATTACACTTGCTGTACAATTTCCAGACAACAGTGAAGTCCACAAATGCACGTAAGCTTCACATGTTCGGTGCTTTTGGATTTAAACAACAGTAGTATGTCGCAATTTATCAGGATCTAGAAATACTATTTACT